GCCGGCGGGACCCGCACCGCTAATGGTCTGTACCAAGCTCGCCGGCTGCGGCGGGGGCGCGAGGAGGGAGGCGGGCGAGGAGACCCCCCCCGGGATTGGTATCACCTCCAGCCCCCCACCCCCGACACACTCCCTCCCCAGGGGAGGAGGCTGCAGCTTCAGGCGCTGGACCAGGGGCTGCAGGCGGGGGCCCAACGCATCAGGCCTTGGCTCTGTAGAGTTAAAGCTCGCCCGGCCCCTGCTGCACCCCCATTCCACCCCGCCTCCATCCTGGCTGTTCCTGGCGCCCAGCTTGGCAGCCTCTCTCAAAGGGTGATTGTTTCCGGGCTGGGCTGTTGGGGGGCGGTTCTCTGGGACCGAGAGGGAGAGCTGGCGATCTGGTGGTGGCGGTGGGGGTGCGGATGTGGCTCCCTCCTTGGCTTCAGGCACCCCAGAGTGGAAGGTGGCTGGTGGGGCGGATGGTACCTTGCCAGGTTACAGGGGTGCTTGTGTAGGGTGCGGTGGGGTTCCTCAGGCGCCAGGCCATGGGGTGGCCCCACCTGTCTGCACTTCTTCACTGCTGCCTTGTGGAAGGGCACGTGGAACTGCTGTCCGCCCTCTCTCCGCTGCCTGGAGGGCCCCGCCCCAGGGCAGTGCACTGGTCATTCCAAAGAGAAGGTGGGGAACCCGAGAGGCAGGGGCAGCTGGCTCTTCAAGAATTCCCGGGCGCCCCTTGCCGTGTGTGTGCCGGTAGGCTGGGGATGTGGCCAGCAGTGAGTGTGTATGTGTGTGTATGTACGCGTGGATATATGCCGGCACACATATGAGGTGGCGTGGAGCCATCTGCAGAGATATTTCCAAATGCTCTTCCGTCAACTTGCCGGAGACTTAGAAGCTATCCTTGTACTCATTTGAGAGCTTTGCATCGTCCCTGCTGGTCTTCCTGGACACCTGTAGTGAGGCCCATGCCAGCTGTGTCCTCTTCACGGCCCCAGAAGGGCAGCTCTGCAGTGTGGTTCTGGCCCCAGCAGGCCAGGGGCTGTCAATACTTTCTTCCAGGTGTGGGTCTGCCACCTCCTTCCCTAACCCAGTGACCAGCTTTAGACCACTGCTAGGCACTGCTGTATCAAAGTTGTGCCACTGTAAGGCCAGGCGCGGTGGCTCACGCCTGTAATCCTAGCACTCTGGGAGGCCGAGGCGGGTGGATCGCTCAAGGTCAGGAGTTCGAGACCAGCCTGAGCAAGAGCGAGACCCCATCTCTACTAAAAACAGAAAGAAATTATCTGGACAACTGAAAATATATATATATAGAAAAAATTAGCCAGGCATGGTGGCGCATGCCTGTAGTCCCAGCTACTTGGGAGGCTGAGGCAGGAGGGTCCCTTGAGCCCAGGAGTTTGAGGTTGCTGTGAGCTAGGCTGATGCCACGGCGCTCTAGCCAGGGCAACAGAGCCAGACTCTGTCTCAAAAAAAAAAAAAAAAACAAAGTTGTGCCACTGTACTGTGAGCTGAGGCTGAAAATCACAGGCCTTTTCTGTCGCCTTTTCTGCCCTGTCAGAACCAAGCCAGGTCCTGCTCTTTCCACTGAGTATGTTGGGGGTGGCAGGGAGAGGATACACAATCAGCCACTTTGGTCACCTTGAGGTGAGGAAGAGGCCCCACCATCCACATCATCCCACATTTGAAAATATGCTTAATTATTCTCTCTAGGGACAGCTGTCCCTCCTTCTCACTCCCTCTTTTATTCTTGTGCTTAACAGTCCTCTTTGCTGGCAAGAAGTTCCTCCAGATCTAACCTGAGTACCTCCTGCTGCAGTGCAGGCTCATTTCCTCCTCTAAATGAGGCATGAATTACAGCAAGCCCTGCGATGCTTTTTCATGCCGCTACTGGAATAACCCTGGCTCCTTTGGCCTCTCTAAAGGAACCTTTCCTGAGACCATGTTTTCCTTCTGATATTTTCCTTGCCTCCACACTCTGCTCCTCCTGACTCCATACCAGCCTGAGGGAGGGGAAAGGCAGGTGTGGGAGCAGGACAGGGGGGCCCCAGAGAGCACAGAGGGGGGCCAGGACATGCTGGAGGGCAAACTGCCTCTGTCCTCTGCTGAGCCAGCCAGTCCCAGTCCCACGATCACTAAACAGTAAGGTGGAAATGACCTTGGAGACTGCCTGGTTTCAGCCCCTCATTTGACCAGTGGGGAAACTGAGACCCACAGAGGGGATCATCAGTGTGTGGGGTAACACCCATTTCTAGACTCTTCCCCCAGGACAGTGCCCAGCCCCCAAGTGGTGAGCTCAGGGAAGATGGCAATGAGGAGAGCTGGGTTTCAGGCCAGTTTCGAAGGCACCACTGAGTGGATGGGCAAGGACCTCCCCTCTTGGCCAGTCTCCTTAGTAATAAGGCAGGAGTTGGACTGAGTGGTCTGGCCCGTCTGGTCCCACCGGGCTGTGGGCTGTGGATGCTCCCCGCAGGTGTTCTCAGGGGCGCTGCCTCTCAGCTCATGGGAGCTTAACCAGATGCAACAGGAAGAGTGACAAGCTTCACCTCACCATTCTGTAAGAACAACAGTAATGATAAAACCCCTTTCTAGGGATCTGTCTTGCAATTTAGCCCCAGGCTCTGTTTACAGAATTTTTTAATATTAATTTTTAGAGCCAACTTAAAACAACAATGTGAGATTAAAATTAGCATGGTAAGGCTCAATGAATAGATAACAGCCTGCCATTAGTTTCCGTGGGAAGTTTTGGCAGCACCCCAAGTGTGTGGACATACACAAATGCACTAACATCTATGTAGACACAAAACATGCACATAGAGGCAGATACACATGCGAACACACCAGGATGAATGCACAAATATACTCTCATATACATCATGTGCACATATAAATGCATGCACATGTACATACCCACACCCACCTGCACCCACGCAGACTCGTATATACATACACCAGTCCCCACCAGGTGAACTAGGCCATTGCTGCCCATTCCTACCCCTATTCTTGGGCTTCTTGCTTGGCCCCTGCCGGTCTGTGCAAATCCTTCCCTTCCACATCTGGATTTGGTACATCTCCACAACTTGGCCCTTGCTCCAAACATCTGGAGCAGCCTCTAGGTCTCCCTGAATGATTGATCTTCCTCTCCTCCTTGCCTCTCATCCCAGAAGCAAGCCCCTCTTCTCAGAGGCCCCCAAAGCCTACCACCAGAACGTTTAGTATGCAAAGCCCGGGTCTGTCCTCTGGGACAAGCCGTTATGTGTTTATTGTGTAGTTAAGCAGGACGGGAGCCCTGCCCCCAGCTCTGGTACTGGCCCAGTTCCCATCATCGGAATCCCAGAAGAGTCCCATAAAACCATCATCTGCAATGCAAAACCTGCAAAACATCTGGGAGGGTCTGTAGGTTTTCTCCAAATCACCTGTGCCCTAATTTAATATGAATAACAATTAGTTTACTCTTATCAGTTAATTGTTCCCCTCGTGGATTCTCTCTGCCTTGGCCTCTCTTTCAGCAGGAGCTTTGGTCTGCTCCAGACTCCTAATGATGCTTCCTTTTCCGACCAGCCTTCCTTCTCAGCTAACCACCCCCAAGAGATGATGCGGCCGAGCGGCTCGCTGCCCTCGCTCTGCCCGTCTTAGCTGTCTGATTGCTGGGGTCTCCATTTTTAGGGGGCTATCCAGTCTCCCCTCGCCCCCACCATGAATCTACAGCAGTGATTTTGCTGATGTGAGTGGAAAGCTCCAAGGAGGAATCCCACACCACACAGTGCACGTGCTCACCCGTCATTGCCCTGGCAAGGACGACAGCACATGCACACGCGTGTGCACACGCAGGCACCACCAGAGTGGAAGGAGCGAGAGGAGGAAAAGCTGCCCTCTGCCTCAGCAGCAGTGTGGCTCCCTGGGGACCCAGTCATGCCTTGCAGTGTCTGGCAGGCAGGTCTGAAATGCTCGTGCAGTGCTCCTGGCTGGGCGTGTGTGGACATGTTGTTTTGGGTGGTTGAGTTCATGGCCCAGACAGAGAAAGGGGAGGAGACCTTTAACTCTTCCCCTTCATCAGGAGGCTTCTGTCCCTCCTTTGGATCTTGAATACTCTTGTTTCCCCATAGCAAATTGGAAATGGTCATTTGGTCACAAGGACCAAATGTCTCAGTTCCTCCCCTCCCTGCCTCCTCCCCTCCGCCCAGGCAATGCCGGCGGCATCCTTCCCCAGTTGCAGCAAAGGGGCTGCCCCCTGTGCCCTCTCAGATCTCTGCAGCCAGGGCAAGGGTGCAGGTGCATGGCCTTGAAACATTTGAGTCACTCAGAGTTCGTTCTGCTTTGTTTTCCTTGTGGCCGAGGGAGGCATGAGAGGCTATGGGGGCAGCGTCCTGCCACTTGGGGGAGCATCTCTCTGAGGCACACCTGGGACTGTTCTCCGTCCTCTTGGGGAAGTGAAAATGACCCAGGTTGCCCCTTGACCTCCCTAGCTACCACCTAATGGCTCCCTGGACCCCTCCCAAAAACCTCCCCACCACAGCTCTGCAGCCCCCGCTCCCTCCCCGCAGCCCTCCTGACTGCAGACACCGCGGGCAGTGAGCTGCCTCCCACCAGAGCACTTTCTCCAGGCTCCTTGGGGGGCG